CAGGGTCTACCAATAAGAATGATATACGTTAAAATTGCTAAAAAATAAAATTTCTATGATTGATGTTTTATTTTGTAGTATATTGCGTAACATTATGTTTTGAACAAGATATCATTAAGATTCCCACCTCGGCTGCGGCGGCGGCACACATTTATACGATAAACCCCATTTTCAATGACTTTTCCAAGTTGAGCTGAATTTCGCGAATAACTCCGGTGATGTTAACTTTCAACTCGTCGATGGCTTGAGGATTGTTAATGTACGCCTTCGACTTCACATATCCTCAAAGAAAAAAATCCATGGGAGTAAGATCACAGGACCTTGGTTGCCAGTTGATAGGACAATGTCGCGAAATTATTCGTTCCTCAAAACGCTCCCTTAATAAATTAATTGTGTCTCGAGCAATGCGTGATATTGCTCCATCCTGTTGAAACCACTTCTGTTCCAAGGCTCCACCATCAATTGCACGCCAAAGAAAGTTTGTTATCATGTCGCGGTAGCGCTCTGCGTTGACTGTCACAGTATGCCCCTTTGCGTCATCAAAAAAGTAGGGACCGATAATTCCACCGACACCACACGCAAACTACACCATACAGTCACTTTTATCGGGTATATTGGCCTCTCGACTAATTTCTGGGGATTGTTCCGACACCAGAAGCGGCAATTTTGATTATTGGCAACGCCACTAAGCGAAAAATGCGTCTCGTGTGAAAAGATGATTTGTTTACCAAAATCGGCATTTTGTTCCAACTGCAACAGGGCCCAGTCGGTAAACGTTCTTCGCAAACCATGGTCGGCAGGCTTCAGTTTTTGAGTTAGAACCATCTGTGGTTATATGTCCAAATCTTTCTTCAAAATGCGCCACATTGACATCGGTGAAGGGGCTAATTGCTGACAACGTCGCAGAACCGACACATTAGTATTCGCGGTGACACTTTCTTGCAGCGGCGATATTTTCAGCGCTCCTTGCATTTCTTTGTCGCGTTGGTGGCTTATTATCCAGGAGAGTTTACTCCTGCTCAAACTTATCAACTGTGTGTCTTATTGCAAGCTCAGAAGGCCGTCGACGTTGGCCAAAATCTTCTCGAAGAACACGATAACAGGCTCTAACCGATCGCGCATTTTCGTAGTACTTTTGTACAATAACTATACGATCTTCTGTAGTTAAACGATTCATGGTGGAATGACACAGTATAATAATCACAACTGACTGATCCGCGTTTTGACAAATACCACTGTGCGTACATGGGCTACTAAACTTCTATCACTCCTATTGGTAGACCCTGTATAGATACTTTTAGTCTCCAGAAACGAGATGTTGAATGTATAGCGAAGATAAGTCACTTGATCTTTGCTCCACTGGTGTGGTACGAAAACATAAAACTTTGTGATCCTACTTGGCAACATCGCCGTGACGTTGAAAAGTCCATATACATGTCCATATGGTTGGAAATTTTCTTGGATAATTTTATTTGAAAAATTGTCAAAATGCGGCTGTTTTATATATCCACTCCACAACTCACTCCGCTCTCGGAATGTCCGGGTGGAGGGTGGGCTCGAGGGAACAACATCGAAGATAAAATTTGTTTTTCGAACATCTGCGGGATCAACACCAACATTAATGCTGTTCATCACTACCTGCAATCCAATCGTCCCGCCGTGCTTTTCTTGGCGGAGACAAAAATCTCAGAGACTGCACCGATTAACCATCTCAACTTCCCAAACTACGAGGTGCACTCCAATCTGAGAAAGAACGGGGGAGTTGTGGCTTTTGTCCGCAGCAGTCTTGCCTGCTCCAGGGATCTTTCTTTGGAATCAGACCGGAAGGACATTCTGTGGCTTCGCCTCAGCTCCAAAACATCACCCAAATTTATTTGCTGCCTTTATGGCTCTCCCTCGAACCATAACTGGGATGACCTACTCGAATACCTCGCCGTCCAGATCGACTTCCTGAACATCAATCATCCCGCTTCAGAGGTAGTTCTTCTCGGTGATTTCAATGCCCATAATGAGCTTTGGTTGGGCTCAAATAAGACCGATGCAGCAGGTCGTGCAGTCGAAGCGTTCGCTCTTACTCAAGGGCTGACCCAGCTGGTCACGAGCCCTACTTTTTTCCCCCGCGTCTCGTCACACGCCAGTAGCCTGCTGGATCTCTTTCTGACCACGCATCCTGCCCCTTACAGCACTGCTGTCCTGTCCCCCCTGGGTAACTCAGATCACGGTGTTGTGGAGGTTAGGTTTCGGTCAGAAGCCGCTGTGGCAGCAGAAACTCGCACAGGCCGCAAAACTTGGCATTACGGACATGCCGACTGGGAGGGGCTCAGAGACTTCTTCTCTAGCTTTCCTTGGAGAGATGTCTGTTTCACTGACGCGGATGCGTCGACTGTCTGTTCTTCAATAACCGAAATTATCCACGTCGGAATGGAGGAATACATCCCTCACACAGTGAAAGTTCCTAAACCAGGGTCCAACGGCTGGTTCAACAAATCGTGCGACACTGCTCGCCACCAGAAGATCAAGGCCCACAGAACCTACTTACAAAACCCCACTGTAGAGAACAGACAAGCCGACGTCGAGTCCAGAAACAAATATAACGAAGCGGTTCGCAATGCCAAAAACCAGCATGATATAAAAGTTAGGCACAGGGAAATGTCGCAGCGCAATGGCAGTCGGTCTTTCTGGACGCTGGCCAAGCAGATTGAAAAGAACTTCTCACACAGTAGCCTTCCACCACTTACGTGTCAGGATGGAACTATTGTATTCGACTCGAAGGCCAAGGCGGAAGTGCTAGCCAAGATCTTTGCTGCCAACTCCACCATGGACGTCCCCACCAACGCCCAAGTGCCGTCAATTCAAAGGGTTCCCCACACTATGCGGGAGGTAACATTCAGGCATAAGACCGCAAGACGAGTGCTCTTGTCGCTCAACATCAACAAAGCTTCTGGTCCGGACTTGATTCCTCCCATTGTACTGAAGAGATGTGCAGCGGAGCTTGCTCCAGTTCTTTCGCGTCTCTTCCAGATATCTTATGAATCCGGCACCTTCCCAGAAAACTGGAAATTTGCTCATGTACAGCCCATCCCAAAAAAGGATCTAAAACCGACCCTTACAACTACAGGCCTATAGCTCTGCTTTCTGTCATAAGTAAAGTGATGGAGAGGTGCATAAATCGCGAGCTTCTGGACTACCTCGAACGTCACAGCTTGATTAGCGACAGGCAGTACGGTTTCCGGCACCAACGATCCACAGGGGACCTCCTAGCTTACGTCACGCCACTGTGGAGTAAACTCATCCAGTCTCATGGTGAGGCTCATGTCGTTGCTCTTGACATCACGAAAGCGTTCGATCAGCTGTGGCACGCTGCCCTCTTAAGCAAACTTCCATCCTATGGCCTCCCGGAAAAGCTTTGCAGATGGGTGGCTGACTTTATCTCTGGCCGCAAGATATCCGTCGTAATTGACGGATTCTCCTCTTCATCCCACAACGTCAACGCGGGTGTTCCCCAGGGATCGGTCTTGGCTCCAACACTGTTTCTCTTACATATCAACGACCTCCTTTCCTGCACGATCAACCCAATCCACAGCTTCGCTGATGACAGCACTCTACATGCAGGAATTCAGAGTGACAAGCCGATCTCTGCCGCTGAGCTGGAAAAAAGAAGACTAGCGACGACTTCTTCTCTGACAAGAGACCTGGAGGCTATCACTGCTTGGGGACGCAACAATCTTGTACAGTTCAATGCTTCCAAAACACAGTACTGTACTTTGACGAACAAAAAGCGTCCTAGCGCTCATACAGTTTCGATGGACGGTCGAGTTCTACCAAAGAGCCATTCATTTCGGCTGGTCGGAGTCCAGATCACCGAGGACCTGATCTGGCACGAACACATCTCTTCAATAGCTGCAGCTGCTGGGAAAAAGCTAGGCTATTTGTTTAGAGCTAAGAAGTACTTTTCTCCGCATGACATTCTCACTCTATACAAGGCCCAGATAAGGCCTAGCCTCGAGTATTGCTCACACATTTGGGGTGCTGCCGCCCCGACTACATTGTCCATGCTAGATGCTGTCCAGAGGAGGGCGGTCCGACTGATCGATGACTCTTCTCTAACAGACAGTCTCGGGACTCTTTCGCACCGGCGGGTCGTCGGCGATCTAGCTCTTTTCTATCGCTACACCAACGGGCTTTGCTCCTCAGAGCTCTCTTCCATGATGCCGCCGCGCGATGTGCCTGCCAGACAGACCCGCCTGACTTCGGCGTCCCATCCTAACCGTGTCAAACTTCGTACATCCAGAACTGGCCGATACGACCGCTCCTTTGTCCCGAGGGTGTCTAGATTGTGGAACAATCTACGGGAGGAAGCTTTTCCCAGTTCTACTAACCTTAGGCAGTTCAAAAATCGTATCAACAAAATTTCTGGTCTCTTATCACATGTACTCGTAAGGTAAGAAACTTCAAGGTAAAAAACCAGACATGTACTTCTTCCCGCCAAAGGTCCTACCGTAATCTAAGCCCACAATACATGGTGGATTATCGATGCTGATTGGAATGACAGCTTTTTAGTAACGATAACCAGGATAAGCTTCAGAACTAGTGGGAGCGGCATCCTGGGTCCGAATACTTGAACCAAAATCAGGACCACTTTGGGTGAAGAGATAATACTGATATCTGTTTCCCTGGAACTCTTTCATGTTCAGTCTAACAGATTTTTATGTAGATACAGATTTTTGCAGCTTAGATAAATAATTTGAGCTGCAAGTTCTGTGCACCGTAATTTATGAGGTGGAGTATTCCAATTGGGAAAAGTACATAAGACATAAGAGAAAATTCACAATTTATTTGGGTTTTCTTTATAGCAACAACATAGTCTCACCGTATTCCGACCACAGGTCTGAGTACAAGAATCTGTGAGATACAGTCCCCGAAATGAAAAATGTAGGTAACGATTAAAGAGAAAATATAGAAACGTTGTATGCCTTTAGTAATCCATTATCATTTTAGCACAGAAATATTCAAGTTCGCCGGCTTTTGGTACTCAGAATGTTGATGTATAAGCCTAGCTGCAATTTATGTGTACCATAGTCTGTGAAATTGTCACCGAAATTAAGGATGAAAACATCTTTTTCTGGACAACGTTAGTCGGTATGTAGTCTTATCGAGCTTTGGTGCACTAAATGGTGCAACTATATGAATAATTTTAGATGCCACTTTTATGTGCCACATTCTGTGAGGCACGGTCTTCGAATTATGAAATAAAGATGATACTAGGGACAAATATATTTCTTTTGTGATCCTTTATTGCTGCTATACCTGGTCTAACCGACTTTTGCGTATCAGAATGATGTGACTAGATATTTCATTTAATTGTGCGTACTGCATAGCAGGAGCTGTGAGATACTATCTTCAAACCGGAGGAAAACGATGTTAAATTGGTATAAAGAAAACATTTGGCTCATGATATCCAGATTCACCGACTGTTGCCACCCAGGATTGGCACTATTCAGACTCACTGATTTTGACACCGATAACGCTGTCACTGGATGTATGATCTGTTACAGCTTCTTGGTACCATACTCCGTGAGACATAGTCTTCGAACCCAAGAAATGGTAGGACGCTATAGATGATTGCTTCTCTTGGCAACGATAGTCGCACCAGCTTATGATATCCAGTCTGACTGATTGCTTGTATCTTGGGTAATTGCCACTATATGTACGATTTTGAACGCCGATGCCGCTTCAAGGTAGCACAATCTGTGAGATACAGACTTCGAGTTGGGAAGTGTAGATAAGGACAGAAGAGGAAAGGTACGTTTGTTGTAATTTTTTATCGTCGTTATACAAACACGAATGTTTAGGCTTGCCAATTTTGGTAAAGACGTTATATCTGACAGATTTTTAGAAGTTTCACCGACTATAGGATGGACACAGGATGCAATTGGAGGTACAATTCAGTACACTGTGAACATTTGTGTGAGAAGCGAACAGACTGTTTGTAGTCAATTTGTTCTTGTGAAACGTGCAAAAATAAAGTTTGAGAGATTTTTATGTCTTTTTGTTCGTGGCCTCTTTCTCTTCTGCGACTGGACCGATTTTCAAAAATCAGCCTTTACGTCCTTGGCGTTGTAGCAACATTGTCTTAAAATTTCATAAAAAACCGAAAGGTACTTCTCAAGTTATAGGTGGTGTAACGGTTTCACCGTCCGATCGTATTTATTAAATCACTTCTCGATTATCATTTCATTAATCCCATCTCTAGCTTTTTTACTTGGAAAATTTTCCGCTTGGACCGCTTGATGCGGAGTTCCTGATCTGCGATCTTCCTCGCGCTTCTTTTTTCACTTGATCCGCCGCCGATCGAACAAGAGCTAAGAATTTTCTTCTCTGTAGCACAAGGTCATATAGCACCATGTGCTAGAATTTTGTAGAATGTGTGTCCGTATAGGACAAAATGATTGGGGCCACACCCTTCCCTTTCTCTTTCTCTTTCTCTTTCCCTTTCCCTTTGCCTTAGTCTTTGACTTTGCGTTGCTTGGCCTATCACTTCACCCATGCATGTGCCTTGGCAGCGCCATCGCCTTTAAGTTCAACTTCGCCTACAACTGGTTATGAAGCCACTATATGTGAGGTCACCCCTCATAACTGGGACCTCCACTTCAAGCACCTGGCCATCCTCGATTCAGTTGAGTCAAAATGGACCAGCGAAAGATAAGTTGATAGTTTTATAGCAGCGCCAAAGATGTAAAACTGTGTGTTCTGTTTGTTCTTCTATCCTCTAGCCATGCCATGGTCGACACACAGCTACACGCCTGCAGATGTTCTCATGCCACCGACTGAGCTACCGGAAGCTAATGCTAACCCCCTTTGTGTGATTGTACAGAAAAGTTGGAATCTTTATTGCACTCCATCTTTTCTGGACTTTTTGCGGAAAGGAAGCGTTACAGTGGTTATAAGATTAGTCGACAGACCGACGGAAATGAACGAAATGGTTTTTCGTGATATACATGTCATACGACTATAATATCCAAAATACAGAATGTCTCATTTTAGGTTAGATTGGATCTTGCATAGCGAACGGCAGATAGTAATTGAAATAAGTGAAAAGTACCGTGTAATTAACCTTTTCGTAGCAAGTACATCTACAGTCTGCATGTTTAATATAGTATAATAGTATAAAATGATATATAGATGAAATATTTGTCGCTGATCCTATTGTGATGGCTTCCTTGGACCTCTGACAACTATAGCATCCGCTTGATTTTTTTTATTTCATATCACATAAAACATCACTATTCTTTTTGTTTCAGACGAGCATCTCAATTGTCAGAGAAACTGGTTAAGGTACACAGGAGAACTAGTTTGTCATGCTAGGCTGTAGGTTTTGAAAATCGATCCAGTGATGGCGGAGCTTTGAACAATGAACGACAATAACAAAAATCGTTTTTTGAGGTTTAAGTGTCTCCTGCTCATTTTCAGAAAAATATTGAGAGCGAGTTATGTTAAGGGGTGAAGCGTATTTTTATCTTTTATTGTAAACCATATTCGTCGTCGTGTACGAATACTTATAATCCGCATGTGGATGTACGAGTATTCAACGCGATCTAAACCTTCGCAACTCCTTATACCGCCAAGGAGTAAAAGCTTTGCCAATGTTACACATGACTCTTTAAAAAATCATCTAGTATGTCATTTTCAAGATTTCAGATAACTAAAAGAGATAGATAGCGTTGTTGAATAGGATAAATAGAAATATAGAACGTCTATGACAATCTAAGGGAGAGTACATATAAGCTTTAGCTTCAGAAGATTTACACATGAGGTCAAGTAGGAATCAGTCACTTTAGGAAATATACTAGGTAAGCACATTTGAGGAAATTCGTCTGATAAAGTTTTGTTTATTCGCAAAAATAAGAAATTTTTGAGATGATGTAGAAAGTAAAAACTGGCGTTACTGGCAATCGGTTCTTCTTAGGTACCTTTTGAACGACACTGTACAATTAAACAAACTTTTGACAGTTCAGTAAGCAATTGGAGTTCGATTTGGTGGTGTTTACGGAAAGCAATTGACTGACTCATAACGCCGCGGGGACGCACTAGCCCCAGCGCGAGATTGCTAACATTTTTTACATACCGTATAACAAAGCACCAAATACTACTTTTGAAAAGCCTACTGCGTTAGCTGAAAAAATGTATTTCTGTTCAATTCCGACAAAATGAGCCGTTTTTGGGAAAGACAAATCTAAAACTCAAGAAAGTGATCTAAAAATGTATGTCCTGGTGCTTCTCGGCCTCTAAGTACGAGTCTGTTAGCAGGATTACTGTATTGACAAAATGGCGTGATCCGCATTCTGGATATCATGTCAAAATAAATAGAACTTTACTGAAAACTCATACAACTGTTTTTTGCCAAAAGCGGTCTATTTTATCAACATCGAACACTTTTTTGAAGAAGAACTTATGGCATTATCTTTTTGTGTTCTATATGTATACCAGATATTGTCATATTTTGGGACTCCCTGTACACACATTCTTATGACCTCAGATTATTATAAACCTTACAGCCATTTTTGATAGAGACGAATATGAGAACCTCTTAAGATAGTTCAACGGACAGGTCGCATTCTATCATGGGAAGACTTTACAAAGTTAATGAGTAATTCTTACAGGTGAGCTACTTTTACAAAATAAAATCTAATCCATCCTAGATGTTTTTCAAATTTTCAAACAATTATTTTTCACATGATGTAGAAGGTGGACTTACTAATTCTATCATGACGTTTCCTACCACTTTGATATTCTGATAAAAACAATAGTGAGGACCTCTTCAATCATCTTCAATGGAAAATACCATACAACATTTGTTTCAGAAAATGATGAGGAAGATCGAAGAAGTAGATGCTTCTGAGACATCTTTGGGCAATGTTCTTTTTATCTGAATATCAATACTTATTATTACAAACCTTACAAACATTTCAGATAGCGACGAATAGGGGTATATATCTTTGGTGACAGTTCAATAAATAGTTCGCACTCTATCATGTGAAGACTTTACATTACTTAAGTTAATGAGTATAACAAAAGGAAGCAGCCGCGTAGGCAGAAGCCTAAATGATGGAGCACCGCTGCTGCTATGATGATCCCAAAGAAATTTTGTTAATCCGATTTTTGAACTGCCTAAGCTTAGTCGAACTGGGAAAGGCTTCCTCTTGTAGACTATTCTACACTCTCGACACCCTCGGGACAAAGGAGCGATCGTATTGGCCAGTTGGTGTATGACGCTCGACACAGTTAGGATGGGACGCCAAAGTCAGACGGGTCTCTCTGGCAGGCACATCGCGCGGCGGCCGGCATCGTGGAAGATAGCTCTGAGGAGCAAAGCCCGTAAGTGTAGCGATTGAAGAGAGCTAGATCGCAGACAGCCCGCCGGTGCGAAAGGGTCCTTAGACTGTCTGTTAGAGAAGAGTCATCGATCAGTCGGACCGCCCTCCTCTGGACAGCATCAAGCATAAGTGATGTAGTCGGGGCGGCAATACGGAGCGAGCCAACCTACGCCAACGGTTTCCAGGGTCGTTGTTGGCGTTTGCTCCTTGATCGGTACATTAAGGGGAGGTTTGATTTGGTCTGTACAGGATTTGTTGCGCTTCTGGTATTAAGTCTTTTGTCTGCATTAGGTAAGAGGAGACACGACGCTCGACATTAGCACCGAACTTAACCCAACACGGCCCAACTCGAACCTAAATTTAGGTGTAGTCGAGCGCATTCCAATACCTTCCAACAACAAATGCCAACGTCACATGGGCTTGCATTCGTTTGCTCGGCGTTG